ATAAGCACATGCTTTCCACTTTGGGCGCCACACTTAATCACACTAACAGTTAAAAGGTCGTGAAAATGGATATAAACAGTCCACTTGACTTCAGAAACTTCAGTAACTTCACTCCACTCGTCGCCCAGAGCTTTTGACGCGAGGGAAGTGCGGAGTTGCGCCAAAGCGAGGGTGTAGGCCCATGACGAGTGGAGGCGCCCCTGGTCGACCCGGGCGCACATTCACACTCACGCCCTCGCATCTGACACTCGAGTTAAGCGGCGCCGCAAATGTATTATTTCCAGGGCGACTTCTTCTTTCACCTTGAGAACGGTGGCGGACGTCTGCACTCCACCGCCCGCTCCCCCGACTCGCAGACGTGCGTGTGTGCGGGAAACTTGGTGTGTACGTTTGTCGGTGTGCGTCTGGATGTTGGTCTCGAACGGGGCGCGGGTACAGGCCTCTGAACTCGTGTGTGAATATGTGTGTGTGTGTGTGTGTGACTGTGTGTATGTGTGTGTGTGTGGAGGGAAGGTGGTTAGCCTCTCACCCACGACAGGGGCCCTTCAAGGCGGGAGCTCCGCCCCCTTCCTTTACCTGCCCGGCTAGGTTCCCAGAGGAGCCCCTAACCCTCCCCCCCCGTTCTATCTCTCACGGGTTTGCTCACCTGGCGCTCCTGTGCAAGGCAGGTGAACCGGCGGAATTGACATATGTGAAAAAGAGACAAACTGTACATATTCAACTTAGTTCACATGGTAGGCAGCCGAGGATCGGGAAGTGCAAGCGGTAATTTGATAGGATTATTTGGTAGGCATCGCGAAACATTGACAGTTTTTCTTTCTTCTTTATTTGTACTTAGCACGTGGACTGTGCATTCTTCATAATGATATCTTTCGACAACAGAGAGGCAAGAAGCTTTGACACAGCACGCATAGCACATTTTATGGTTATTCCAAGCTTTCAGGTTTAGGAATTCTCTACATGCGTAGGTTTTTAAACTTGCATTTACCCTTGGAACATGTTACATACCATCATTTCGCACTTACGCAGTGCAATTACACGCAGACTTCACCCGACAGTGACGCAATCGGCGTGAAGCCTGCGGCTTGCTTGCGACCCTAAACTCACTGCCGCGCCCAGCCGCAGGCCCTGTTTGCAATTCTGCGGGCGCGCGCGTGCGGAGATGGCGAAACTTTGCGGTTGTACATGTGTACCGTAGTGAAGGTATTTGTCTTTGTGTCCTCATTTTCCCTTTCTGTCGTAGGAAAGATACCGGCAGCACTGTATTTTTCCGCTCACAGTTTGATACAAAAGCTTTCCATACTTGAGCTTCATTAGACATCTTCCCGTTTGGCGAAGTATCAGAAGCTTCATTCAAGTCTCTCGCCCGTGTGAGAGAAAAGGAGAGATGAAGCTCATGGAGCAAGCTCGTCGGCTGGCGTCTCCTCCGGATATAGACTGCCTGCTGGAGAGTGGGTCGAGGTGTCTGCTTCTATATTGGTTTGAGGAGTTCCATGAATGTGAGGAAACCGCTGTGTTTGTCGTTATATGGCTATTATCGCGACAATTTGCGAGGAAAGTGACCGTAGGAAAATTTCTGTTGGCAGAAGTACTTTTCCCCCATAATGTTAGTTTTAGTATGAGAAGACTTTGGGGAGGAA